TTTTTTTTTTTTTTTGAGACGAGTGTCGCTCTGTCGCCCAGACTGGAGTGCAGAGGGGCATTCTCGGCTCACTGCAACCTCTGCCTCCAAGGTTCAAGGGATTCTTGTGCCTCAGCCCCCTGAGTAGCTAGGATTACAGGCGTGCACCACCACACCTGACCAATTTTTGTATTTTTAGTAGAGACAGGGTTTTGCTATGTTGGCCAGGCTGGTCTCAAACTGCTGGTCTCAAGCAGTCCACCTGCCTCGGCCTCGAAAGTGCTGGAAATACAGGCGTGAGCCACTGCGTCCAGCCTGTTGTAGATATTTTTAAGTTAGTTGCTTTTTTTTTTTTGAGATAGTTTCACTATGTTGTCCAGGTTGAACTTGAACTCCTGGGTTCAAGCAATCCTCTTGTCTCAGCCTCTCTGGTAGCTGGGACTATAGGTGTGCACCACAGTGCCCAGCTCTGTTGCTTGCATTTTAACTTTGTTTATGGCACTTTTATTTTTGTGTAGTAAAATCTACCTTTCTTTAGGGATGGTTTCTGGCCTTGATGTTCTGCTTTGAGGGCCTTCCACTTGCCAAGATTGAAAAATAAATATAAACATTTGTTCCTTTCTCCACTCATATGCTCAACAAGAATTATTCTATGCAGGCAAGAGAAATGTTTAGATCCATTATTTGGGAGTTAGACTTGTTTTTCTGCATTTCATGAAGTCTTTGAAGGTCTAGAACACTGGCCAGCAAATGTTAATTGGAAGAGTCAGGTGAAGTCACACACTATAAATTAAGGACAAATTGCTGACCTTTGCCTCTTAGATGTTTACACCCCAGATGACTGCTCACACTGGAGATAGTTCTAAAAAAGTATGAGTAAAATGGCTTCCATTCTGATGAAAATTATTTTCTAAAAACTTTGATTTTTGGTGTATACTGAGTTAGGTTAGGATGCTGCAATTTCTTTAACTCTTACGTTGCCATCAGAGTATGGGGTAGTTTAGGGGAGTAGGGTAAAGTAATGCAAAAGGAAAGAAAGGAGGGTGTGAGTGGAAATAATTACGTAGGGAGGAAATGGTGTAACAGTGCTAAGGAGTGGCAGTGCAGATTTTTGTGCAGACAAAACCCAGACAACTCAATGTTACCAGTAGCTGGATGTTCTGAATTACATTTTGTTTTCTTTCTCTTCTCAGTTTTAAGCATTTTTGGTCTGAAAACAGGTTGAAAACCACCACTTGCTTTAACCAGGTTATTAATTTACAGTTTGGTTATTTCCATGGCACACATGCACTATCATTCTGTCTTTCTCTGTGTGTATGTGTTTAAACAATCACTACTTTTTATTTTTATTTTTAAAATGTTTCCATCTATGAGCTCACTTAGAACAGTCACGATTGTTTGAGTGAAGAATCACTGTGTAATTTCAAAAAAGTGAAACTGATGTGAAACTCATTTGCTCTAGAAGCAATAAAGTAGTTGTCAGCCTCAAACTTGATTCTCTGTAATTATAGGAAAGAGGGTGGTTTTTTTATTGTTCTTCTCCTCTTTAGCATCTGACACAGATGTCTCAGTTTCATAGCTGAGACACCCATTCTGTAAGCAGTATCTTTTAAACTTAGATGAGACACCCATTCTGTAAGCAGTATCTTTTAAACTTAGATTTAATTAGGATGGATTTGTAACTAGGAGATTTACAAAAGAGGATATATGTAAAGCCAGAGAAGTCTTTAATCCTTTTTTAAAATATTTGTTTATTTTGACCGGGCGCGGTGGCTCAAGCCTGTAATCCCAGCACTTTGGGAGGCCGAGACGGGCGGATCACAAGGTCAGGAGATCGAGACCATCCTGGCTAACCCGGTGAAACCCCGTCTCCACTAAAAAATACAAAAAACTAGCCGGGCGAGGTGGCGGGCGCCTGTAGTCCCAGCTACTCGGGAGGCTGAGGCAGGAGAATGGTGTGAACCCAGGAGGCGGAGCTTGCAGTGAGCTGAGATCCGGTCACTGCACTCCAGCTTGGGCGATAGAGCGAGACTCCGTCTCAAAAAAAAAAAAAAAAATAAATTATTTATTTACTTATTTTTGAGACAAAGTCTCATTCTGTCACCTAGGCTGGAGTGCAGTGGTGCAGTCTCAGCACACTGCAACTTCTGCCTCCCAGGTTCAAGCGATTCTCGTGCTCCAGTCTTCTGAGTAGTTGGATTATAGGCGTGTGCCACCATGCCTGGCTAATTTTCAGATTTTTAGTAGAAATGGGTTTTCACCATGTTGACCAGGCTGGTCTTGAACTGGCCTCAAGTGATTGTTTTGCATCGACCTCCCAAAGTGCTGGGATTACAGGCAAGAGCTACCTTGCCTGACCTTTTAAAAAAATTATTTAACATGCTATGTACCTCAATTATCTGCTTTGTTTATTGGCTTAGCCACAAAGTTACTTGTGTGTGTGTGTGTGTGTGTGTTTCACACTTATTTGGGATTTTTGACATTGTAAGAGCATAACAATTATTGTCAGGATCTAGGAAATAATTGCTAACTTTTCTTAAACTTTACAAAGTACTTTTGTAGGCATTTCTCTCATGCAATAAAGAGAGGTAGGCTATAGGGATAAAAAGTGATAAAAACTGGTGATTACAACTATCAAGAATAGGAAGAGGGAAAATGATACAGGTGGTTCTTAAACCCAGTTCTTTGGAATTCAGATCCTATGTTCTCATTATTTTTTCTTCCTTATACCCTTTTCTATAAACAGAGATAATGATAAACAGAGTGTTTCAGTAATATAAAGGGATGATAGTTCAGAAATGAGATGAGGGGAAGGTTTTTACTGAGCCAGAATTGTGGTAGATGCATAATTAATCCACATAAAGGGTCAGTATTAGTCCCACTTTACTGAGGAGAAAACAGATAATACACAGTAGCTTGCCCCAAATCACACAGTTAGAAAACACTAGAGCACAGATTTGAATTAAGGCTTCCGATTCTAAGGTCTGTTCCCTTTCCTCTATACCGCAATTTCTTAAACTAAATTTTAGAGAGGTGGGGAAGACTATGCAAAGGTTAGGAAAAGTGATTGATTTTAATTGTAATTAAATACAATTACATTGTAAATGTTTCAGTATGATTAATTTGAATTCTGTGGTTTAACAAGGGGGTGATTAAAGAGCGTATTGTAATAAGCATCAAAGGTTTTTTTTTCTTCAGAATGTTGAACAATCATATAAAGGAAAACAATTAGGAGGTTTTTAGTTGCCAGGAATGATTAGGGTTGTGAGAGTTATTCTTCTTTCAGACTGGAGTATACGTTCCACCGACAAGGATCATATTCTCCAACTTTGTCCTCTCCCCAGTTGTGCCTGGGATGATGGGATGTGGATGTGTATGTGCATGCATGATCAATAATAAGTAACTGCTACTTGCCTCTTTAGTAACTCTGCTGTCATTAGCAAAAATATCACTTGCTTATTTTGGTCTGTTTTTGGCCTGATTCTGATAATTTATATTACTTTTCATTAGACCAATTATTCTTTTTTTTTTTGAGACGGAGTCTCGCTATGTCTCCCAGGCAGGCTGGAGTGCAGTGGTGTGACCTGGGCTCACTGCAACCTCTGCCTCCTGGATTCAAGCAATTCTGCTCCCTCAGACTCCCAAGTAGCTGGAATTACAGGCACCTGTCACCACCATGCCCAGCTAATTTTTTGTGTTTTTAGTAGAGATGGAGTTTCACCATGTTGGCCAGGCTGGTCTCAAACTCCTGACCTCAAGTGACCCACTTGCCTTGGCCTCCCAAAGTGGAGGGATTACAGGCGTGAGCCGTTGTGCCCGGCTGACAAATTATTCTTAACTCAGGTAAAGTTGTCAGTTAACTTGTGCACATGAAAAGAAAGCTACTGTATTCATGGAACTATCTTGATAGGGAGAAATTACTCAGGGTAACCCAGTGTGTATATAAAGCTGTCCCATCTTACAATTGAAATTATAATTTTATGCAGTTAATGTTTATTCATGAATCTCCTGTTTTTTTTCGGAAATTCTTTGGAGTAATACCAAGTGGAAAGAAACTTGTAACTGAAACAGTAAAGAAGAATGAGAAAACAAAGTCTGATGAAGAAACTTTAAAAGCAAAGAAAGGAATAAAGGAAATCAAGGTTAGTTTTCTGGATATAATTTTGCATTGTATGAAATGTAAAATAAGCTCAGTTCTTATACTTTTTTTTTCTTTGAGACGTAGTCTTGCTCTGTTGCCCGGGCTGGAGTGCAGTGACGCGATCTCGGCTCACTGCAAGCTCTGCCTCTCAGGTTCACGCCTTTTCCTGCCTCAGCCTCCTGAGTAGCTGGGACTATAGACACCCGCCACCACGCCTGGCTAATTTTTTGCATATTTAGTAGAGATGGGGTTTCACTGTGTTAGCCACAATGGTCTCGATCTCCTGGCCTTGCAATCCTCCCCCCTCGGCCTCCCAAAGTGCTGGGAGTACAGGCATGAGCCACCGTGCCCAGCCTCAGTTCTTATACTTCATATCTTGGGAAGCTTGATATCAACTCAGAGGAAGCAGGTTTCAACTCAGAGGAAGAAAAAGAGTAATAAGGCTGTTCGTTCGTTTGTTCTTTCTCTCTCTCTCTCTCTCCTTTTCTCTTTTCTTTTTTCTTTTCTCTTTCCTTTTTTCTTTTCCTCTTCTCTTCTCTTCTCTTCTTTCGACAGGATCTTGCCCTGTTGCCCAGGCTGGAGTGCAGTGTCGTGATCACAGCCCACTGCAGCCTCGAACTCCTGGCCTCAAATGATTCTCCTGGTTTTGCCTTCCATGTAGCCAGAACTACAGGTGCTTGCCATTGTGCCTGGCTAATTAAAAAAAATTATTTTTTGATAGAGATGTGGTCTCAATTATGTTAGACAGGCTGGTCTTGAACTCCTGGCCTCAAGTAATCCTCCTGCCCTTGTCTCCCAAGATGTTGTGATTACAGGTGTGAGCCACCATGCCTGGCCACTAATTCTAATTAATGTAACTTACTACATTCATAGCTTGATGTTTTCCTGATGTAGAGATATAACCCCTTTTAGTTGTTAACACTTTGCATTTTAAGACCAAAGTTTGCTCACAGAGACATGAACCCCTATGCTCAGGTGGATGGTGTGAGATTTCTGGTGACGGAAGGCTTTGGAGGAAAGCTTTATTCTTTCCCCTGTTCTCTATGGGCCTGAGAGAAACTAAGATATAATGTCAATATGGAAAGTAGGCCATGGCTGCAGTAGTATATTTGAATTAATATTATTTCACTTTATGTAAAGTGTAACCATTTTGCAACTCTGCAAGTCCATCTGCCACCATCACTCCATTCTTCGCGCCCTAGTTGTCATATATATTACACCTACATATGTTAATACTGCACAATTCAAGGTAATTTTGCTTTAAAAAGATGTGCATTTTTAAAAAAAATTAAGGCAAAAATTGCTCTTTTTATTTTACGCACGTATTTGCTATTTCTGATGCTGTTCATTTCTCACTGAAGATCTGAGTTTTCATCTAACATCATTTTCTTTCAATTTGAAGAATTTTCTTTAGCATTTTTTTGTAGTGTAGGTCTGTTGGTGATAAACCTCTGCTAAGTTTCTGTTAATCTGAAAATGCCTGTATTTTGCCTTCATTCTTGAAGGTTATTTTTGCTGGGTATGGAATTTTGGGGTGACCGTGTTTTAAAAAATTTAAGCCTTTTAAAGATGTTCCACTGTTTTTTGGCTTCCAGTTTGTTTGATGAGATGCCTCCAGTCATTCATATTGTTTTCTCATGTGTGTTGTTTTTCTCATGGTTCATTAAAGAATTTTTACATTTTTGGTTTTCAGCAGTTTGACTATGGCATACCTGAGTGTGGTTTTCTTGTGTTTATCCTGTTTTGGGTTTCTGAGCTTCTTTAATCTGTAAATTTATATCTTTTATCAAAATTGGGAACTTTTTGCTATAATATCTTTAAATATTTTTTCTGCCTCATTCTCTCTCCTCTTCTTGAACTACAATTACATAAACATTAAGAGTTTTGATATTATCTCACGGATCATTGAGCCTTGTTCATTTTTATCAGTCTTTTTTTCAGATTGAGTACTTTCTCTTTTTCCGTCTTTAGGTTCATTGATTCTTCTTTTATCTCCAATTTGCTGTTAAGGCTATCTAGTGAATTTTTATTTTATATATTGTATTTTTCAATTCTAGAATTTTCATTTGTTTCTTTTTCATAACTTTAATTTCTCTCTTTTATGTCCTTGAGTGTAATTATAATAGCTGCTTTATTTTTTATTTTTTATTTTGAGACGGAGTTTTGCTCTTGTTGCCCAGGTTGGAGTGCAATGGCATGATCTTGGCTCACCACAACCTTTGCCTCCTGGATTCAAGCGATTCTTCTGCCTCAGCCTCCTGAGTAGCTGGGATTTCAGGCATGCGCCCCCATGCCCGACTAATTTTGTATTTTTAGGAGAGTTGAGGTTTCTCCATATTGGCCAGGCTGGTCTCAAACTCCCGACTTCAGGTGATCTACCTGCCTCGGCCTCCCAAAGTGCTGGAATTACAGGCATGAGCCACCACGCCCGGCCTAGTAGCTGCTTGAAAATTCTTGTCTGCTAATGCTGACATCTGGGTTATATCAAGATTGGTCTTCATTAAGTGCTTTTTGTCCTGATTCTTTGGGTCATGTGTTAGTTCAGGCCACCATAACAAAATACTGTAAAGTAGATGGTACTGGCTGATTAGGTGTCTGGTGAGGGCCTTTTTCCTGGTTGGTACATGGCTCCCTTCTTACTGTGTCCTCACATAGTCTCTTCTTAGTGCATTTGGGTGAAGAGAGAGATTGAGCACTCTGGTGGAGAAAGAGAGAGAGAGAGAGAAATTGAATGAGCACTCTGGTGTCTGTTCTTACAGAATGCGAATCCTGTCAGATCAGAGCCCCACCCTTATGACCTTATTTATCCTTAATTACTTGTTTAGAGATTCCACCTCCAAATATAGCCACCCCGAAGGTTATGGCTTCAACATGTGAATTTTGGGGACACAGACATTCAGGACATAACATTCCATCCATGGCCACTCAAAATTTATGTCCTTCTTGCATGCAAAATACATTCATTCCATCATAACAGCCCCCAAAGTCTTATTTCAGCATCAAGTCTGAAGTCCACAGTCTCATGTAAATATCATCCAAATCAGATATGGGTGATACTTGAGGTATGAATCATCCTGAGGCAAAATTTCTCTCTAGGTGTGAACCTGTGAAACCAGATAAGGAACGTGCTTCTAAAATATGATAGTAGAACAGACATATAGGGTAGACATTACCATTCCAAAGAGGAGAAATCAGAAGGCAGGGAGGGGTGATGGATCCCAAACAAGTCCAAAACCTAGCACGGCAAATTCCATCAGAACTTAAGCCTTGAAAATAATACTCTTTGGCTTGATGCCCTGCCCTCTAGACCCACTGGGTTAGTGGCTCTACCCCCACAACCATAGGCAGCTGTCCTGCTTCTGCAGCTCTGCTGGGCCGTCCTGCCCACAAGGCTTTGGGTGGTGGCTGTCTCATCTGTTGAAACCAAGCTCCATCTTTTGAAGAGGCAGTTCTGATGGCTGATCTCTGAATTCCTTTTAGGACCATTCTTCCCTTTTCTTGAAAAATAGCCCTGTTGTCCTGTCACTGGAATCTCAGAAGTCTGACAGCCTTCTTTCATTTTGTCCTTTCTCCATCCTCTTCAATTCAAACTGACATGTTTTTGCTTGTATAATCCCGTAATCTCTTTATCAAGTGATACTCCAGCTACATCCTTGCTATTCTCTTTAGAACATGCTTTTTCTTTTCTTTTCTTTTTTTTGAAACAGTCTTGCTCTGTTGCCCAGACTGGAGTGCAGTGGCGCGATCTCAGCTCACTGCAACCTCCGTCTCCCAGATTGAAGTTAATCTCCTGCCTCAGCCTGCTGAGTGGCTGGGACTGTGGTCGCGTGCCACTGTCCAGCTAATTTTTTTGTATTTTTGCTAGAGTTGGGGTTTCACCATATTGGCCAGGCTGGTCTCAAACTCCTGACCTCAAGTGATCCGCCTGCCTCGACCTCCCAAAGTGCAGAGATTACAGGTGTGAGTCACCACGTCCAGCCTAGAACATGCTTTATCATTTTTTGAAATATGGACAGGCTGAGAATTTTACAAACCTTCAAGCTCTGGTCCCTTTCTGCTGAACAGTTTCTTCTGTAGTTCATCTCTTCCCTTTTGCATTTGACTACAAGCAGTCAGAAGGACTCAGGCTGCATCTTCAAGATTTTGCTTTGAGATCTCCTCAGCTAAATATGTGATTTCATCGTTCACAAGTTCCATCTTTTACAAAGCACTAGGACCCAACTTGGCCAAGTTCTGTGCCACTTTATAGTAAGAATTGCCTTTCTTCCAATTTCCAATAATCTCTTTCTCATTTCCATGTAAAACCTCACCAGGCTGGCCTTTAACATTCGTATTTATACCAGCATTCTGTTCATGATGATATATGCTCTGAGATGAAAGAGGCTTCTTCTCTAGCTCTTCTCTTTTCTTCATCAGCTCTCATTGTTATTACATCTAAAGTTCATATTTCTACCAGCAGTTCCTTCCTGGCAGTCTAGGCTTTTTCTACATGCTAGAAGACATCTAGCCTCTACCCAATTCCAAAGTCACTTCTGTATTTTAGGTTTTGTTTTTGTTTGTTTGTTTTTTTTTTTACAGTAGTACTCCATTTCTTGGTACCAAAATCTGTATTATACAATCAGAGTTCTGTAGAGAAACAGAAGCAATAGGATGCATGTGTGTATACATAGAGAGATTTATTACCAAGAATTGGTACCCTGATGTTTTAACTGGGAGTCCAAAGGCAGGAAGAAAGTATCCCAGAGATGTCCCAGCTCTAAGGCAGTCAGGCAGGAGGAATTCCCTCTCATTCAGGAGAGGATTAGCCTTTGTTCTTTTCAGACTTTCAGCTGATTGGATGAGACTTAATGCCATCAGGAAGGGCAATATGCTTTACTTAGTCTATTGATTTAAATATTAAGCTCATTCGAAAACATCCTTGCAGAAACACCCAATATGATGTTTGACCAAATGTGTAGACATCTTGTGGTTCAGTCAGGTTCACACATAAAATTAACCTCAGCAGGTCACATTTCCTCTTTATTTGTATGTTCTAGTTGTTTTGGATTATCTTGGACATTGTGAATGATACAGTGTAGGAACTTTGGATCCTGTTATATTCCTTCAAAGAGTGTTGATTATTTTGGTTTATCAGGCATTGATCTTGGTGTACTTAAGCTCTAAACTCTTGCCTACCCTGTAATGGGCAGCAGCTGAAATCTTTATTCAATTCTTTTAACCTTAGCTAAGCACTAGGAGTTGTTCCACATATGTATAATTCAGGACATAGCCAGAGATTTGGGTAAAGTTTACAGGCAGAATTTGGGATTTCTTTCTGTGGCTTTCTCCTTTCCTTGATACCTTCTTCTCTTACTTTTGAGTTGTAGTTGATTCTAACTCTGTCCTTGATCCAGTGGTATATGTAAATTATAATTGCTCATTTGATCCATTTTCTTGCAAGCTAGTTGATTGTTCTTATGTTTTTGAAGTTTTATTGTAATGGATAGGAATAGTTTCTATTTCTACCTAATAATTGATTATAATCAGTTTTTTCACTGTCTGACTTCTTGATGCTTTCTGAGAAAATTTGAATATGTTAGAAATGTGATGTTTAACTATAAAATATAAATAATACCTTTTGCATTGGTTTTATTTAGTATTTTTTTTTTTTTTGAGATGGAGTTTCGCTCTTGTTCCCCAGACTGGTGTGCAATGGCGTGATCTTGGCTCACTGCAACCTCTGCCCCCCAGGTTCAAGTGATTCTCCTTCCTCAGCCTCCCGAGTAGCTGGGGTTACAGGCATGCACCACCACACCTGTCTAATTTTGTATTTTTAGTCGAGACAGAGTTTCTCCATGTTGGTCAGGCTGGTCTTGAACTCCCAACCTCAGGTGATCCACCTGCCTTGGCCTCCCAAAGTGTTGGGATTACAGGCATGAGCCACTATGCATGGCCGGTTTTATTTAGTTTCCCAAGGGGCATTGGCAGTGGTAGGCCACTAGCTTAGCATTTATTCCTGTTTCTGTCTTTTCATTTTCAGGAAGCACTTGCCTTGTAATATCTGATATCCTTTTATTCTTTGTTGTATACGTAGGTTAGTGTTGAAAGTGGAGCTGAATAATGTTATAGTGTTTTCTGTAATTCTTTTTTTCCCATTGTGGTACAGTTACTGTCTGGCCTATTTTTAGCCAATAAGGGTATATTACTGACAGTTTAGGCTGGAGAATTCTTTGTTGTTGAGGAGTAGTCCTATGCATTGTAGGATGTTTAATAGCATCCCTGATATACTTGTTAGATGACAGTAAACCTCCCTACCCCTATTAGGGACAAGTAAAAATGTTTGTAGACATTGAAAAATGTCTTCTGGTAGGGGGCGGGTATGCAAAATTCCTCCTATTTAAAATGACTGAGCCCAAATCTAACGAGAAAAAAAGGATAGTTATATAGGCTTATTTATGTTCTAATTATACTGTGATGTTTATAGGTAAATAGCTCCCGTAAAGAGGATGACTTCAAACAGAAACAACCAAGCAAGAAAAAGAGGATCATCTATGATTCAGGTAATATTTCTTCTGTGGAGCTTTAAAGTTTTAAGGTTATTGTATATCCCTTAGCACAGCGATGGGTGTGGTGGCTCACGCCTGTAATCCCAGCACTTTGGGAGGCCAAGGCAGGCAGATGACTTGAGGTCGGGAGTTTGAGACCAGCCTGGCCAACATGGTGAAACCCCATCTCTATTAGAAATACAAAAATTAGCTGGGTGTGGTGGCATGCACCTGCAATCCCAGCTACTTGGGAGGCTGAGATATGAGAATTGATTGAACCCCGGAGGCAGAAGTGGCAGTGAGCCAAGATCGCCACTGTACTCCAGTCAGGCTGACAAGAGTGAGACTTTGTCTCCAAAAAAAAAAAAAAAAAGGTAAATAAACTATGTTCTGAGACACATAGCTCTCTGAGGTATTAATAAGTGCTGTGAGAAGGGTGCTGTATGCTCAAGTGAAATTTCAAATAATTTTATTATAGAACTTATCAGAACCAAAATCTGTTTGTATTAAAGATTCCTTCAGAAAGTGATAGAGTATGCAGCATTTGTCAAACTTAATTTGGATGTGATATATGTGTTTTTATTTAATTTAATTAATTTATTTAGAGACAGTCTTGCCCTGTTGCCCAGGTTGGAATGCAGTGGTGTGATCTTGGCTCACTGCAACCTCTGCCTCCCAGGTTCGAGCGATTCTTGCGCTTCGGACACCACAGTAGCTGGAACTACAAGCGTGCGGCACCATGTCTAGCTAATTTTTGTAATTTTAGTAGAGATGGGGTTTTACCATGTATCCCAGGCTGGTCTCGAACTCCTGGCCTCAAGCAATTCACCTTCCTCGGCCTTTCAAAGTGTTGGGATTGCAGGCATAAGCCTCTGCATCTGGCCCTGTTATTTTTAAAAATACTTGTATTAATTTCTTTTCCAGTTGAGGTTGTTGGAAGTTAAATTTGAAAAATAGTGCCTTAGAATACTGTTTTTAAAGCAAAAAATCTAAGATTTAATTTTTGTGCCTTATTGAAAGATCTGGCTTTTTTGGGTTGCATTTAAAAAGGAATAAACACAATTTAAAGGCTTTTCTTTGAATGTAATTTTAAAATAGGGAACAAATTTTTTTGCATGCCTTTTATGATGCACAAAATGATGGTAAAATGATGATAGAATTCAGAAAGTTTCAGTTTTTGCTTTTATGGAGAAGATCTGTCTCTTCTGTTTTATTTTTATGTGGTGTGAATTTTTTTTTTTTTTTTTTTGAGACGGAGTTTTGCTCTCTCACCAAGGCTGGAGTGCCGTGGCACGCTCTCTGCTCACTGCAACCTCTGCCTCCTGAGTTCAAGTGATTCTCCTGCTTCAGCCTCCCAAGTAGCTGGGATTACAGGTGCCCACCACCATGCCTGGCTAATTTTTGTAGCTTTTAGTAGAAAAGGGATTTCACTATGTTGGCCAGGCTGGTCTCGAACTCCTGACCTCAGGTGATTTTGCCTGCCTCGGCCTTCCAAAGTGTTGGGATTACAGGCGTGAGCCACTGCACCCGGCCTTCTGGTGTGAATTCTTAAAATAAAAAATGTGCCTAAAGAAGCATTTATGGATTGTCAAGATTTTCACAGTACTATCAAAGGTTCTGAATTCTGAAAGTACTTAAGTGTTTACTGTGTGCCTTTTATTGCTCTGTATTGTAAAGAATTTGAAAGAAGTACGTGTTCTTCTTCCCCAGGAGTTTTGTTTGTTGGGAAACTGGAAATGTGTTTGATATAGTTTACTACAGTGTGACAGGATTTATAAATGCGTGGTGCAAGGGAAGAGGAAGGACACTAAAGTTTATGAAACATCTATTTTGTACCAGGCACTATGCCAGGTACTCACACTTTTTTCCTGACTTTTATTTAAGTGCCCTGGGAGATTAGGCTGTGGTAAACAGAATAATGGCCCCAAAAGATATCCACAGCCTAATTCTTAGAACCTGTGACTATATTAGGTTATATGGGAAAGGTAAGTAAAAGTTACAGATGGTGTTAAGATAGCTAATCAGATGACCTTAAAAGTAGGGAGATTAGGTCAGGCGTGGTGGCTCTTGCCTGTAGTCCCAGCACTTTTGGAGGCTGAGGCGGGTGGATCACTTGAGGTCAGTCAGGAGTTCCAGACCAGCCTGGCCAACATAGTAAAACGCCATCTCTACTAAAAATACAAAAATTAACTGGTGTGGTGGCACGTGCCTGTAGTCCCAGCTGCTGAGGAGTCTGAGGCAGGAGAATTACTTGAACCCGGAAGGCAGAGGTTGCAGTGAGCTGAGATCACTCCACTGCACTCCAGCTTGGGCAACAGAGTGAGACTCTGTCTCAAAAAAGAAAAATAAAATAGGGACATTATGCTGGATTATCTGGGTGGGCTCAGTGTAGTCACAAGGAATAGGGAGGCAGAAAAAGGGTTTCGAGAGTGAGATTAACTGTGGAGGAAGGTTAGAGGATCCAGGAGATGGCAACATGAGAACTTTCGCTTGATGCTGCTGGCTTTGAAGATGGAGGAAGGGTCCTTGAGCCAGGAAATGCTGGCATCCACTAGAGATTGGAAAAGGCAAATAAAATTCTTTCTTAGAGTATCCAGAAAGGAACATAGCCCTACTGGTACCTTGACTGGGCCATTGAGACCCATATTTACCGTCTGTCTAACCTCCAAAACTGGAAGATAATAAATTTAGTGGCTTAGTTGTTTTAAGCCACTAAGTTTGTGGCCATTTATTATAGCTGGAATAGGAAACTACTACATAGTCTTAACACTGAGTAAAAGTAACCTGTGAGAATTCACAGAAGACATGTGCCTTGAAAAAGACCTTGAGGAATTGGTTCACCATGACTACTTTAAAAATGCACTGTATTATAATAGTTCTTTTCCAAGTTTCATTTTATTTTTCTCTCACATACAGATTCAGAGTCAGAGGAGACGTTGCAGGTAAAAAATGCCAAAAAGCAACCAGAAAAACCGCCAGTATCTTCTAAACCTGGTAAAATTTCACGGCAGGATCCTGTTACATACATTTCAGAAACAGGTAAGGTTGCATTGTGTGTTATGTTCTTGAGTTTTTTGTTGGTGTCTAAATGTACCTCCTTCACTTTGAATGGAATTTCTACTGCCTTTTTGCTTTGTTGAGTTATATTTATCAGGGAAGGCTAGGATCATCTTTGGCATTTCCTGTGGATTAAGGACCAATTACAGGGAAATTGGCTCTTGGAATTTTTTTTAAGTGCTCGTACTGAATCTCATAAATTGAAGCTTAATCTTGAATCACATATTAAAATAGTATTGGGTTGTTTTAGAACTACTTTTTTAATGTAAGCTTTTTATCCGGCAGGCCAAAGTCAATAATCTAAGTGTAGAGTGATTACTCACATTTGTGATTTATTATTTAGCACTGATGTTGAATTCCTTGTATTCTCTGGTAACACTGAAAATTAAAGTATTGGGTTTTTTAAAGAAGATTGTTTTGTACTTAAATTTAGTTCTGTTAGATCTGTTTTAAGAGTAATCAAAGTGCAAAGGACATTTATAAATAATTATGTGCTAATCTGAAATATTTTGTTGTGTAAATAATTGTTTCGTGAATACTGTTCTTTTATGTAAGGATCCCAGAGTTATATTGTCATCCTAGAAGAAAAGCTCAGATAAGTTAGTGGTGAAGTCATTTCGATTGTAACATTGTTAACCCTTGGAGGAGACCATAACCAGAATAATACGGGATGATGTACATGAAAGGGCCAGACCCAGTGCCTGACACATTGAGTAGGCAGTCCAAAGGAAAAAATAAAAAGAAAAACCAAGTCCATAGGTGAACTTTGTAAGTTATGTGAAACATTTGCTGATGAAATTGTTCAAAATATTAAAGACAAAGTGTAAGTGATGTGAGCATATTTTTTGGGAAATTTTTCCTAAACTGAGACGTTTCTTTGTTATGGGCAGGTGACTGACTCTTAACTTTCTCATGCTGTTGCTAAATATCTGCTCAGGCACATTGTGTAAACGAACCCTTAAATTGAGAGGCTCTCCTCTTAGCTCTGGCTACCTTTGTGAAGTTTTGAACATGTGGGAGGGGAGAGTAAGAACAGTATGGTGATAGGTTTATTATGTAACTGAAGGTGGTGTGATTAGGCTTTCCAGTGACACCCTGAAAAACGTCAAAGTTAGTGTGCAGCCAGCCATGGCCTTCAACTGTGGATCAAGGCTGTTGTTATCTGGTGATTTTAAGTAAACAAAAAGGTCAGATAATTTAAGTTCTGATCACAGTTTCTTTCACATTGGACTGTTTATTTCAGACAAGTAATTTTTTTCTTTCTGTATCTAGTCATCCATTAAGATGAGCAATATTTGAATGTTACTTTCTGAAGAGATGTCCAGCTTTTTATCTGAAAACTTTTTATGAACATTAGGCAGTGTTCGTGTCATTTGCTGGTAGCATATACATGTGAAAGTAAACACTGTCCTCTTGTTTTAGCTAAAAATCTTCGGTATGATGTACCTATCTAAGGTGGTGTTCAGTATTGTGCATTATTCTATTTTTTTCTTAGAATTGAGATGTAGGGAAGAAGCTTGCTTTATTATTGCCTGTTTTATCTTTTCATACTTTATTGTTTGAAATGATAGGTGAATGGGAGGAAGATAAGCCTTTTCCTTCATACAAGAGAATGAGACTATTAAAAAAAGTCCATAATAAGATTGGCATAATAAAATCACAAATATATGAGTTTCAAAAAAGAGAAGTGCAGCTTTTTTTTTTTTTTTTTTTTTTTTTGAGACGGAGTCTCGCTCTGTAGCCCAGGCTGGAGTGCAGTGGCTCACTGCAAGCTCCGCCTCCCGGGTTCACGCCATTCTCCAGCCTCAGCCTCCCGAGTAGCTGGGACTACAGGCGCCCGCCACCTCGCCCGGCTAGTTTTTTGTATTTCTTAGTAGAGACGGGGTTTCACCGTGTTAGCCAGGATGGTCTCGATCTCCTGACCTCGTGATCCGCCCGTCTCGGCCTCCCAAAGTGCTGGGATTACAGGCTTGAGCCACCGCGCCCGGCCAGCTTTTTCAAATTAATATTCTACTGGAAAATCCTTGACCTTAAAGTAATACTTTTGTTACTCTTTACTTTAGGCTAGAACCATACTTTTCAATATTGGGTCATAAATATTTTTGTTTTATATTACCAGTATAAGGTTAAATAAAATGTGTGTGTGTGTGTAATAGAATTGGGCATTACCTCATTCCATAAAATAGAATGAGTATTCCCAATATTTGTGTAATAGTTTAAAAGTAAAAATTCTAATCTAAAACTGTATTGTTTATCTAGAGATTGGAGCTTCTTTTGGAAAAGTATCATATGACATGATTCAGTTTAAAAAAACCTGTTAATTCCAAAAGATAGGATTTTTTTTCATTATTGCATACTATCTTTTCTTATGTTCTGTATTCTGATTTTAAAAACAACCTTTGGTTCTATTGGCATTTTTCTTGTGGCATAGCATGTGTACTGTTTAAAAGCATGGCCTTGGTTAAATCTTTACTTAACTTTCCTTGTGTTTTAGTTTACTTCTATGTAAAATGGAGACATCACTAGTACCTGCATCAGCAGCCTTTTGTGATAGTCAAATGAGATAATTCTTGAAAAGCATTTAAAATAGGGTCTGACTTAGGATCTAAAATAGTAAATGCTCAATAAGTATTAATTGTTATTCTTATGTTTTGACTCTATTATAAGCCTATATCTGCCTTTAAAGACATTTTGTATTTGTTTACTTACTTAGGGCTTTGTATTGATTTTGTAATTGAGCTTTAGAAATTTGGGAATGATAATTTGGCTCACTTATGTTATGGATTTGTGTCATCCATTATGGGAACTACTAGTTATTTGTGGCTGTGGAGCACTTGAAATGTGCTTAGTCTGAATTGAGAATGCTGTAAATGTGAAATACACACAGATTTCACACAGCAAAGGAAACAGTCAACAAAATGAAATGACAACCTACAGATTGGGACAAAATTTGCAAATCATATATCTGATAAGAGGTTGATATCTAAAATGTGTGAATAATTCATACAATTCAATAGAAAAACAGTCAAATTTAAAAATGGGTAAAGGACCTGAAGAGACATTTCTCCAAAGAATGCATAAAAGTGGCCAACAGGTATATGAAAAAGTGTTTAATATCATTAATTCTTAGGGAAATGCAAATCAAAACCAGTATGCAATAACACCTCACTCGTTAGGATGGCTATCATTAAAGAATAAAGGGATAACAAATGTTATTCACAGTGTGCAGAAAAGGGAACCTGTACACCATTGGTGGTAATGTAGATTGGTGCAGCCATTATGGAAAACAGCATGGAGGAGCCCAATGGAATTAAAAATAAAACCGCCATATGACCCAGCAATCTCTCTTCTGGGCATATACCTAAAGGAAATGAAATCACCACCTCAGAAAGTTATCTGCACTCCCATATTCATTGCAGCATTATGCACAAAGCCAAGATACGGAAACAACCTAAGTGTCAGACAGTGGATGGATGAAGGAATTGTGGTATATGTAGTCATGGAATATTATTTGGCTTAAAAAAAAAGGAGATTCTGTCATTTGCCACAGCATGTATGAACCCGGCGGACATTATGTTAAGTGAAATGTCAGGCACAGAAGGAAGAATATTGCGTGATCTCACTTATAATGCAAACTCTTAAAAAAAAGTCAATAGAGAATGCAACAGTGGTTGCGGGGGTTGAGGAGGACATGGGGAGATATTGATTAGAGGTTACAAAGTAGCAGATACATGGGATGAACAAGTCCAGAGATCTAATGTATAACATGAGGACTATAGTTAATAAAGTTGTACTGTATTTGGGATTCCTGCTAAATTAGTACATTTTAGTTGCTCTTGCCACAAAAATAAAATGAGTAACTATGTGAGATGATGGATATGTTAATTTGCTTCACTCTAGTATTTATTTTACTATCTATATATCCCCTAATATCATGTTGTATACTTTAGATATATACAATAAAATTTATTTTAAAAACACAGATTTCAAAGACTTCCTACACAAAAAAGGTAAACTACCTTGTTAATTTTTTGTTATTGATCCCTTTTTGAAATGCTAATAATTTGAATCTATTGGGTTAGATAAAATATATGGTTAAAATTAATTTCACTTCTTTCTACTTTTAAAAATGTGGCTATGAGAAAATTTGAAATTTTATATGTGGCTTGTATTTTATTTCTGTTGCATAGTGCTTTATAAGCAATGAAAAACGGATTTAGGAAAAATGTAGGTTTCAAGTATTTTTGCTTATATTATTATACAGCTAGCTTTTTAGATTATTGTTATACAGATTTTTAGGCTTTCCATTTTGCTCTATGAGAAATATTTTTCATCATCACTTTCATTAGCTCTGTCTTCTACTAGGATTTATTGATTTTTAAAAACTAATTTAACCACATTAATTTCCCAAGTTACAGGAAAAGGAAAGAACTGCTTATAAATATCTTTATAGCCAACTATCGACTCTAGTAAAATGTTCTTCAAGGTTAGTAAAAACCCAAATACTTGTTGTACTGGGTAAATATATTTACTTTTAGCTGTTTAATGAAGTGAGAGACCTTGAGTCTTGTTTGGCGAAGATTGACCTTTTATTATGGTTTCATCAGGGCCTGCTGTTTGATCGAAAATGGTGGGGGTTTTTCCTGCCTTGAATTGTTTGACTGGTAATTTTAATTGTGCACATAATTCCGGAGGCAGTTAGTACTCCTGAAGTTATAATTATTTGAGGAGTGTTAAATGGGAAGAAAATTGGTGATGTTGTGTTCTCTAGGTTACAGGTTACCATGTAATAACAGTGACTTGTGACTTTGGAAAATAGTAGCAGAAAATATTCTTGGCGATATGTGTAACATTCTCTTTGCTAACTTTTAGAGACATATAGTTTTGTGCATGGGACAAATAGGTATAGATTCTGTATATGATAGAGAGCTTCTCTTAGATGTTTTCAGGGAAACCTAGAGTGATAAGGGTAGAAAATTTCC